TATATATATATATATATACTAAAATAAACTACTACTTGTACTACTATTCCTACTTTGCGTTTTTTCACCTATCGTGGGGCTTCAGGGTATGTCTCCCCCATGATAAACAAGGGACTACTGTACTCACTTTAGACAAGAGGAAAAACACTAACCTTGTGGTTATCAAAGTTCATGCTCAATAATCCAGGTAAAAAAAATCCAAAAGTTTAGCCAGATCTTGTAGTTGTTAGTACTTATAATCTAGTGACGAGGCAAAAAGATATGTTCAAGTAATCCAGCAGTAAACCCATAATTGCCAGCAGTTCATTTTATTTTTTTATAGTTTGACTCCTTTATGTGCGAAACAAAAGGTTGTAGACACACAAGGACACCGGATGTGTGATTACAGAGAATCAAAGAGAAGTGACACATCTTCTATTATTCTTGTCCTCTAAAGCCAGAAGTGTTCCCCACCTGTGTGTTCTCTGCCATCTTTACCCCTCCTTCCTCTGTCAGTATGTTCCCACGAAGGGTGGGGATGGTTTACACCCGGCAGGTGAAACTGATCCTCCACTTCCTAGCACCGACAAAGGATTTGGCACAGTTCTTTGTTTCATATAATTATGAACCGTGCATTTATTATACTTTGAACGGTGGGTTTTAAAGAAAACAAAAACAGACAGGTTGACACCTTGAACTTCACGATTAGGCTCAATATTTGTAGGCCATTAAAAAGTTGTACAAACACGCCTACGTCTCTATGAACAGATATGAATAATATGAATAGTGTTTTTGGTTAGAGGTGTTTTGCTTTACATTTAGACAGTAGTTAGTTTTTAAATAATGTATTAAAATAAACCAACACATCTTGCTAAACCTCAGGAAGTTAAAAGTAACTCAGTGGATTGCTAGTTTCTGTTCCCACAGTAGACCTTTATGCTTTTCATGCTCTGATGAAGAGCATTAGACCAAAACGTTTATGTGATTGTCTCTAACCAGGTCCAAAATCAACGAATATGAGTCAACCGTGTTCTGAAACTGAATGTGTGCGCAGCCCGTCTGTTTTCGGATATTTTTATTTTTGAGATTTCTCACCGTGTCTTAGCAAAACAAACTACAAAACACAGAGATAGTACACCATCGAGGAGAATAGCTGACTTTTAACCTTGTACTAGCTTTATGCTAAAAAGGATGAGCATTTTATTTTATTTTCCCAAGTCTAAATATAAAAAAAAAATTATATACGAGAAAATTTTGCATTTTCTGTGATAATTCAGTTTGAATGTTTATCACTGATTTTTGCTGAAAGCTGCTGCAGAAGTTTCATCACCGAACCATTAATGTAAGTTAAATTTGAACAGCTGACATTCACTGAAAACAGGGAAATAAAAGCAGAAGCAAAACAGCAGAAATATGTAGAAAAGGCTGAATGTAGCAGAAATGATCAGAATAAGCTGAAGTAAACGGAAAGGCTAACTAAACTAAAAAAATAATAATCTGAAATTAGTTTTAAAAAATTGCTGAAATTAGCAGAAAGAGACTAAAAGATGCATAAAAAGTTGTCATTTTAAGAAATAAGAACAAAAAGGCAGAAATTAGCTAAAATTTGCAGAAAAATACATAAAGTAGCTGAAAAAAAACCCCTGAAATTAGCTGAAATAAGCAGAAGGAAGCTGAAGGAAGCTAAACGGAGCACACACACAAAAAAAAAGCTGTACCAGAACAAAAGCTGAAATGAGCAGTAAATATTGTAAACCGCACAAAGGGTTTGAAGGATGTGAAGAGAACTCCATTCATGGCAGAAAAAGATGAATATTTCAAAAAGTAAAAATTGCACCACTATGAAAAATCATAGCAGGAACGTATTGAATGTACTGAACGTTTTGATAAAAAAATGGTTGAAATATCACAAAAATTAAGGAAATAGCTGCTGAAATATGTACAGAGGAAAAATGGACCTCAATTGTGTAAATGATGTATAAACATTCACACAATTATTGAAAAGAATAATTAGTAACTGAGCCATCTAGCAACTTAAATCAAATACTTTCTCAGTTATTTTCTGAAGTCCCATCCACACTACTCCAGATAGTTTTGAACACGTCTTTTTTCTCTGTCCACACAATCTAAAAATGTGAATTTCATGAACTGATTTGTGACTGGAAATAATGACTCTCAGTTCACAGCTCTGTAAAGAATAACATACAAGAAGATGAACAATATTGTTCCCCCAGATTTATTTTAATTTTGTCTTCTGCTCTGTGGATCTGTGCAGCATATAAAGCTGAAAACCACTGATTTTCTATTAAAATTTATCCATTTCATGTGTCCATTGAGGGGAAAAAGGATCGCTGCATGTGCTCAAGACTTGTAAGAAACATTAGGAGGAAACAGTTTGCAAATGCAAAGTAAAGTTCTATAAAATATAAAAACACTGCATTTTGAATCTATAATAAAAAAAATGAAATGAGACCGTAAACCTGTGTATGAATAAAAACAAACAAAAAAAAGTTTTGCAGCTGAACCATCCAGACTGTGGTCCAGACACCATCATCCATGATGGTACGGCTGCAAACTCACGCACAGCTGCCACATCTGGTAATCTAATGTCGAACAATAAATGCAGGTTTCTGAGAAACATACGTTGCTATTAGCACAAGATTTTCATGTCAGGGAAGGACTTGCTGAGTTCAGCAAGGAAAATGCCAAACCACATCGGCATGCTTTATAGTGGAAAAGTCTGAGCTGGCATGTTAATGTTGAAGTTTTTTTAATAAGCAATAAGACTTTGTAATATATCTAATTAATTTGCAAACTATTTATTTGTTGTTGTCTTTAACAATTTCGTAAATAAACTGTTAATATTTTGGTGTAGAACCTTAGACAGTGGTATGTGGAGAAGGCAGATAGTTTATGCTGAACTGATGTGTGTGTGCGTACAAAGAGGTGTGTATGTGTGTGTGTTTGTGGTAGAGGGGGGTTGTGTTTGTGATCTGGCCCGAGACAGAACCACCTCTTGTATTTGGGGGAGGGCTGTGAATACTGTCTTGTCTGTGTCAAAGTGGAGGCTCTTATCCTCCTTGTCTGGGCGGTGTGGCACTCAGGGCGGATGTGCTCATCCCTCAGGAATAGTCTGGTATTGTTAGCTGGTGAAGGAGGCCCAGCCATGACAGCAAACAAAGGGACAGCACACACACACTTCAGGGTAAAAATATGCACTATGTCAACACAATGTGTGTGTGTGTGAGAGAGAGAGAGTGCCTCCGATGTGATAAAACATGAAGACATAATAAAGAATTATGTTCATTTTTTGACCATTATGGTTTAATTGGGTTGTTGTTTTGTTTGTATCTCAATAAAACTTATTTTTTGTAGTAACGGGTCTTTTAAACCTTCTACATTAAGTGGTGATAAGACACATTATATATGTGCAGCTGAGAATAAACTTAATTTACCTTCAAGTGAAATCAGCTCATGTTGCCTTCAGGGCCCGTCAGGATTTCTCCACTCCTCAAAATGATCACCTTCAGTATCAGCTGGACCAGCTTCTTTAAACTGGTCTTTAAACTAAAGAAACTGGTCCAGATGACACGATTTAACCTTTTTTTTTTTTTTTTTTTAAATTATCTACCTGGATGGTAGAGCTTACAACCCTTTTTACCTTCAGTATGTTTTCATAGATGGTGTCCCGGAAGTCCAGGAGCGCTTTCTGGTCAAACTCCTGCCCGTTAATGATGCGCATCTGCTTCAGGAATGTGGACTTTCCGCTCTCTCCGGCCCCGAGGAGGAGGATCTTCACCAGCCGCCGGACGGCTCTCTTCTCCTGGGCGAGCATGGCGTCTATCGCCCGGCTCCGGCGCCTCGCCTCCCGCTCCTGCGCCGCGTCCCTCTGCGGGCTCCCGTCCTTGCTGCCGCCCGGCTCCCTGGCCTCGGCCGGGAGCAGACAGCGGCTCAGGGTGCGGACCACTCCCGACATGGCGAGGCAGTCGTGGGAAACAGAGAAAGTTTAGCGAAACTCCCGTGGGAAAATGTTCATTCTAAGTTTTTGTTGACCTCTGGGTTGGAAGTGGCGCAGTTCGGCTGCATTCACTGCGGCGGGCAGAGCGTCTCCAGCGGGTAAATCAATAAAGTCAACATTTAGTAGGCGAAGCTGTTATCTTGAGTCCAGCCGGCCGTGTCCATCTTGGTTAGACCGCACCATCATAAAATAAAACTAAAAAACTTTCTGAATGGAGAGACGAAACCTGAAACAAAATCTAAGCGCTTAAATATCCAAACTAAAGCCAGACAATCAGTTAAACTGACTTAAAGTGTCCAGCCGGAGAAAAACACCGCTTCAGACTGCGGGACGGTCCATGAACCAGCGAACATCCAGCGGGTTGTGAACTTCAGAGCAGCCCCCCTGCGGGCGGAGGTGGGACGGTCACAGCGACGAAGGGGGGCCGGTGAACTACCGGGGTTCACCGACAGGGGGCGCCAGAGAGCAACGACCGGATTGTAACTGAGTGAGGGGTGACGATATTCAAGTCAAGTCAAATTTATTTATAAAGCACATGTAAAAAGCTGATGTTACCAAAGTGCTTAATAATGAGATCAAGGCAGTAAATAAAAATAACAAGATTAAATTAAAAGCATCAAAAATGAAAACAATGAGAAAAAATGAAATAGTAAATCAATCAACAAAGTCCATGCTCAGTAATCCAGGTATAAAATCCAACCTTTTTCAGTCAGGTCATCTGGACAGTTTCTTTTTTTTTTTTTGTGCTGAAACGTTTCACCTTCGATCCGGAAGGCTTCATCAGTCAAGGAAACACACAACAAAACTGATTCTTCCTCCAACAGCTTACTCCAAATCAAACCATCTAAAAAAGTTAAGTCTGGTCCTCTGGACGGGTTAAAAAAACATTTCGTCTTTCATCTGAAAGTGAGACTGAATGAGAGTGAAGACGTCTTTCGGATGAAAGACAAATTATTTCTACAATTTTTTGTTTTTGAACCCGTCCAGAGGACCAGACTTAACTTTTTTAACTTTTTCTACCTGGATTATTGATCAGGATACAAATCACACCACGTGAAACGTCAGTGAATACAGGTGTGTTTTAAGGAGAGATTTAAAAGCAGGGAGTGAAGTGGCCTGTTTAATGTTGAGGGGCAGATTGTTCCAAAGTTTAGGGTCCATGACTGAAAAAGCCTGATCTCCTCTGAGCTTCATCCTAGTTTTTGGTACAACCAAAACCAGCTGGTCAGATGAGCTCAGCGCCCAAGAAGGAACATATGGTTGAAGTAGGTCAGAGAGGTATGACGGTGCAAGGTCATTAATGCACTTAAATGTCAACAGGAGAATCTCAAAATCAATTCTGATATGCACAGGGAGCCAGTGAAGGGAGGACAAAACTGGTGAAATATGATCAAACCTACGAGTTCCTGTTAACAAGTGAGCTGCAGCATTTTGGATGAGCTGGAGGCGTGCAAGGGAGACCTGATTTACCCCAACATAAAGTGTGTTACAGTAGTACAGCCGGGTTGTAACGACTGTATGGATTATTTTTTCAAGGTCAGATATAATATGTTATATTGTATTATATGTAGTATTTGTTGGCGCTGGTAAATCTGGTTCACTTTATGGATCTGGGTTAATTTGAATCAGTCACTAAAGTAAACCTGGAGTCGGTCACACTGCATCGTCCCTTCCACTGCTACTAAACCGGACAACTTGTTAAAGGCTTTGCTACCTGGAACCTGAAATCTCCAAATCAGAAAAATCAGCAGGAACACCTAAAATTCTAGGATTGCGCCGCTCGGGGGGGCTGCATGTTGGAGTAGCTCTCATTATGAGTTGTTGCTTATGAAAACTTTAATTCCTCTTTTTCTGGGCGTAAATTGCTTTTGTTGAATGATTATTTCCTCTGGTATCGGATGCTGTGCAGCTGGAAGGATTTTTACTGAAACCTTTTTTTTTTACTTTGGGGCATTTGTTATGCTGCATAACCATGGCAACAAGGTGTTTTTTTTTTTATCAACCAGGAGCAGCTGATTAACATTTCAAAAGCTCAAATACCTCAACTACAGCCCCAAATCCCAAATGAGTTGAAAAGGAAGCGCCGTGGACAAATTCCCGTCAACCTGGTGACGGTGCTCGAGTATTTGACCGCCGAGATCCTGGGGCTGGTGGGAAACTTGGCTTGTGACAACAGGAGGACGGAGATCTTTCCCTGGCACCTTCAGCTGTCTGTCCGTGGCAACAAGGAACTCATCAGACTGCTGGGAGGAGTGACCATCGCTCAGGGAGGAATTCTGCCTGGCATTTGGGCAGTCCTGCTGCCCAGGAGGACCGAGAGGCCCGCCGGATCTGACAACTAGCTGGATCTGGGTGGATGGATCTGTGGCCAGATTCTTCGGATTTGCTGCAGGAGATCTTTCCTACCATCAGCTATCAGCATCTAACAACTCTTGAATGAAACCATGATGAGCTACGACAACACTTAATTTCCCTCTGGGATTAATAAAGTATTTTTGAATTGAATTGAAAAGTTGGAATTCCAGAAATTTGGAGATTTAGGACTGACGAGGCTGCCTCGTGCACGAAAAGCATTGTTAGCTGCAGTAATAGACTTTTTATTTTCCAATTTAATTGGTTTGAACTAAACTAGTGGCACACAGCACAGACAAATGTATGTATATGTGTTTGAATGCATAAAACGTGAAAAATGATTATAGACTTGCATTAGTTAATATAAATCATTAGATAGTGAAATCTTCTCTGAGTTGGAATTGAAACATGGTTGAGCTGAACGCGATGGCAATTTCAAATCTGAGTCCAGTTTCGATGTAAATAAAATGCAGCAGAATTCTTCCATCAGAGACTGTTGGTTTACTTGATTTGCCCAGGTTCAGTTATAATTCTTTACTTTTTGGTTTATTGTTTTCTTTTTATGATTTTTTTTCAATAACCTCACCTGTCTGACTGAAGTCCTGCACTTAGCTCCTACTTATTACATCATTCACCTTCGTTTTCTGACAGAAAAGCCTGTTTTTTATGCTGTGCAGTGAGACCCGGAGGAAAGTGTCAGTTCATTGTGCAATTTAGCAAAATCACACAGTTAAAACAGATTTACAGAACTTTTAAAGAGACCTTGACCTTCCCAGGTCAGGAAAGTAAAATAAAACCATTTTTATTTTTTTAAATGCTCACTCCCTGACAAACCCTGACTGTTCTAAATGTCAAAAATGATTGTAGAGCAGAAAGTGACTCATTAAGAATTGCTGTAAAAAGCTTAAATTTCTCACTGCACACCTCCTTCAGCTGAGAATGCTCTGGCTCGGATTAAGTAATTAAATTAACATTTGTTTAAAAAAAAAAAAATCCCATTATATTTCCAGGCTTGACGCCGTCACAGATTGGTCTCGAACTATGCAAAGTATCTTTTAGTAAAATTGGAGCAATCACATTTTTCATGAGAATTCACTCAAGCTATGGCATACACTCTGTCTGAAATGCTTTTAACAAAGACCCTTTAAAACTACTCTCATTAATTAAACATATTGATTTTTTCCTCCCTTTTTTATTTGAACCGTATGAGCAATCACTTTTGCAGCAAAATGTAATCTCAGCTTTTTCTATGCTAAGAAGTATTTTTTGTTTTTCTTCTCCATGAACAGTATTTTATTGAATTATACACAACATATTCGATTAAAACATTTTGCCAAGAGCTTTAAAGCCAATCTGGCAGCTGCTGAAGTAGAAAATGATTTTGCCTTTAAATTGTCTGTATGTCATGACAGTATGATTGGAAACAAAAGCTCAAATTATTCTAAGACGGTAAACCGCACACATTTCTGTGAATATGTTTTTTAAACTGGACTTAAAGGCAGTAGCTTTTGGAGCAGGTTCTGAGGAAAATTTATGAACAGTAATATCTCACCTGCTCTAGATAACTCTTTGAATGACCTCAGTCTGGAAAATATAACTTTATTCCGATTGGACCGACCAGCTACGAGCTATAAGTTTACAGCAGACCAAAGGAAATTCTGTCAGTCAATGAGTCAGTCAGTGAGTCGGTGAGTCAGTCAGTCAGTCAGTCAGTCAGTCAGTCGGTGAGTCAGTCAGTGTGTTGGTGAGTCAGTCAATCAATGAGTTGTTGAGTCAGTCAGAGAGTCAGTCAGGGAGTCAGTCAATGAGTTGGTGAGTCAGTTGATGAGTCAGTCAGTCATTGAGTTGGTGAGTCAGTCAGTGAGTCAGTCAGTGAGTTGGTGAGTCAGTCAGTCAGTTGGTGAGCCAGTCAATGAGTTGGTGAGTCAGTCAGAGAGTCAGTCGGTGAGCCAGTCAGTTAGTCGGTGAGTTAGTCATTGAGTCAGTCAGTGAGTTGGTGAGTCAGTCAATCAGTGAGTCTGTGAGAGTGAGTCGGTGAATCAGTCAGTGAGTTGGTGAGTCAGTCAGTGAGTCAGCCGGTGAGTTAGTCATTGAGTCAGTCAGTGAGTTGGTGAGTCAGTCAATCAGTGAGTCTGTGAGAGTGAGTCGGTGAATCAGTCAGTGAGTTGTTGAGTCAGTCAGAGAGTGAGTCAGTGAGTCATTCGGTGTGTCAGTTGGTGAGTCAATCAGTGAGTCTGTGAGTCAGTCGTGAGTCAATCAGTGAGTCGGTGAATCAGTTGGTGAGTCAGTCAGTCACACAGAGCAGGTGCCTAGTACCTCCAGTGGTCATCGGGTTAAATATGGAGTACCCCCTGGACAGGTTGCTAGTCCATCTCTTAGGTTGGCTTTACAGTCAATGAGAAGGTCCATTCTTTTGTCCTGCTGATATGGGTGTGTGACAACAGCTATTTTTCTATTCTCATCATCCACTGATGCCGCGTCTTGTGCATTGCCTCCAGACAGAACTACAGTAGTTCTCACAGCACTATGTGGCGTGCGTTGTGTTATTGGTCAGAACTTTATGGGCGTGTTTGTTCTTTGTAAAGTAAGCTGATCTCAGGGCAGCGTGTGCTGAGGAGCTGCTGACTGAGGCTGTGAGAAAATACCGCTACCATTACAACTGTTCCAATAAAAATGATAAAGAAAGCAAATGAAACTTACAAAGACAGTAAAATAATTGATAGAAGGAGATGGGACAATTATGTGCATGCAGGAAATGGAGATGGAGACCGGTGGCTCCCTGTGGCTACGCTAACTTGAGAGAGAGTGTGAGCAGCTGGGCAGCAGGT